TCTCTCTCTCTCTTTCAAACAAATAAATAAATAAAATTTAAAAAAAAAAAAGCATCAACACAAAAGAATAGTGGGAACCCGTAAAACTAGTGTCAATAAGGCTAAAGAGGAAAAGGACCCAAGGCTAAGGTTAGCTTTTTTCCTTCCCTTTTTTGTGTGTAAATGGAGTGTGAGAGGAAAAATGTCTTTCACCTGATTCTCAAAATGCTCCAGAAAGATTAGGAGCCCTTGTTAAGTCAAGATTCTTTTTCTCTGCCATAAGGGGTGAATGTGCTCTTTTTGCATAACTCATTTATTCACAGTTTTTCTTCCTTATTAATAGTACTCTGGAAAACATCTTTGTTGATTTATAATTCTCTAGGATAAATTCCAGGAAGTCGAAGTGATGGGAAGCAAAATATAAGTATAATTTTAAGGCTCTTGATACTTACTGTGAAAATGCCCTCCAGAAAGCTTCCTCCCTTAAACAGGCGGTGCAGAAGAATGCTGGTCTCACAACACTCTTGCCTGTAGTAAATCATTCTGTCTTTTAAGTCTGGCTTATGTGATTTCTAAAAGTGGGAGAAGGAAAGAGTATGTTCATGTGCTTTTAATGCCTTTTTTTTTTTTTTTTTGGTTTCTGGTGAATTTGAATTTTTTCATGGTTCTCGGCCATTTGTATTTCTTTAGCAAATTGTTTGCTTGTACCCCTTAACTATTTTTCCACAGAGCTGTGTCTTTTTTCCCTGTTTTAGTAAAATTCATATTAAGATTATAACTTTTACAAATATCTGTCCCTGTTTACTTATGTTTTAACTGTGTTTATGTATTTCCTCCTTTGCCTAGATATTTTGTTATGTAATCAAATATGGGAATTTTTTTATTCTTTATGTCATTATTTTTGGCCACATGCTAGTATTTTTTTTATATTTAAATTTAATTCATCTGTGTAAGTCTTTTGTTTGATTTGCTTTGGGGTTTGGTGTTCATGTTAGAGTCTGCCTTTAAAATCTGACCACAATTAATCGACTAATCTGTTCTTTGAATTAAAATGTTGTGATGTTATTCCTAGTTTTGATTATTTCTTCTTTCTTAGGCGGATGTAGCCGTTTTAGTTGTAGACGCCAGCAGGGGAGAGTTTGAAGCTGGATTTGAGACTGGGGGACAAACACGGGAACATGGCCTTTTGGTTCGTTCTCTTGGAGTCACACAGCTTGCGGTTGCGGTCAATAAGATGGATCAGGTATTTGAAGGCGAATGAGCATTCATTTCATTTCAGATGTTAAGATGTTATCCTGCCATATCGATGACCTCAGAGGTGACTAGTGTACATCTTATTAGTCTGGTGGCCATATTTAAAAGAATTAATTCATGATCCTCATATTAAATGAGATACAAGTAATTTTTAAGCAAAAAAGATGTCTTCTCTCACTTTCAACATTAATTTTAAAAATCTTACCCAAAAACTAATGATGTACTATATGTTGGCTGATTGGATTTAAATAAAAAAAAAGAAAAAATCTTTTAGTTATAAAATAATACACAGTTTGATTTAGTATAAAGAAATCTGAAATAACTTATATTTCCAACTCCCCTTTTTCCCCCGAAATCTTAACTTTTCGTTTTGTGCATCCATCCTGTTTATTTTTTTTATAGGTGAAAATATTTTTCTTCATAACGATGTGTTATAATTTGTTATCTCCTTTTTAAAAAAATGATAATGTTCTTGTGCATGTTTCCAAGTAATTAACTTTTGTATGAACAGGTTGTTTTTACAGCTTTTTTCTAGTCTGTTTTAAAGATATATGTAACTTACTCAAATAATCCCCTATTTGTGAATATTTCCAGGTGTGTGTGTGTGTGTATGTGTGTGTGTGTGTGTATTTAGAAATAGCTTATTCTTTGGAAATTTCTGGGCCTAAGGGCATATGCATTTTTAAGACTTGCTATATATATGGTCAAAATGCCTTCAAGAAAAGTTCTAGTTATTTACTCTGAGCACATAGAGTATATGCATTTTCCCAAACACTTATCAACACTGCTGTTATTAAATGATTATTTTCTAATTTGATATGCAGAACATGTTTCTTTTTTTGTTAACTTTTCAACAAATCTTAAATATTTAAATACACTTTGTATATTTATTAATCATTTATGTTTTTAATTTTGGAATTACTTATATAATTTGCTCATTTTCAAAACTTTTCTTACCAATTTTTAAGTATAATTTATTTATTAAAGATATTAATCCTTTATCTTGTCTTATATATTTTTCCCAATTTGTTATTTTGCTTTTCATTTTGTTTACTTTTCATTTTGTGTGTTTTTGACATATATTCAAATTTATAAATATTTCCTTTTGATTGTTTTTTTATGCTTAGGTATTTGCTTACCCTGAGATCAGATACTTATTCACCTACATTTTTCTACATAGTTCTTTTACAGTATCATTATTACACCTACCTTTTATTTTTCCCTAGTATTTTAGTATGAAAAAATTAAAATACAGAGAATAGAAAAAAGAAAAGAATAGTAGAAAGAATTTTACAAAAAATACCATATTATACCCACTACTTAAGATTCTCCTACGTACTTGATTGCATCTTTTTCTATCTACCCTGTGTCCATCCATTAATTCATCTTATTTTGACAAGAATTTCCAAGTAAGGTACACGTTGTTACACTTACCCCTGAATACTACAGCATGCAGAGTTCATATCACATACACATTTTTAATCTATTTGGCTTGGGGGGGTGTATCAATAATTTTATTTTACTTACAGTAGTTGGTCTGAGCACAGTTTAATAAATTATTTACTCTGCTTACATTTGAAATCACTTATAGCATATACAAAAAGTTCTATCTATATTGGAGTTTGTTTCTAGGCTTTCTATTGTAGGAAAAGTTATTTTTAGATCATATTAAAGTAAGGTTTCATATTCTGAGTTTAAATTTTAATAGATATCATATTGAATAGATTTTATATTTATATTTTATAGTCTTGATTTTTTTATATTTTATTGCAGAAATTTAAATTTTACATATAGCATGGTCTGAAGCATAGTTTTAAAAATTGAATCTTTATCAGGTTAATTGGCAACAAGAAAGGTTTCAAGAGATTACTGGAAAGCTTGGGCACTTTCTTAAGCAAGCAGGTTTTAAGGTAAGATAATTTTAAATTTATTTAGTTATCTTAAGTCTCATCTTACTGATATGGGAGAAAAACCTAATACTTTGGTGTTCTTGTCTTAAGTATGTTTATTTTCGTTTGTTTTTATTTCTACCTGGTATCATGTATATCTTAGGTTCTTTGGGTTACTTCACCATAAGAAAATTGCATATTTTATAAATCGGCTTGGATTTAACAAAAATAAAAGACTTTTCTGCAGCTATTAAATTAGGTGGATAAGTTTAGGGAGGTTATAGAGGAATGGAAACTACACTTCCACTGCAGTGGAAACTAGTGGAGAGGAATTTCTCTAGCAAAATGTAAATGAAATATGCCTATGTTACCAGGTAAAAATGCTTGAGTGTTTTGGAACAAATTTGTAAGTTTCCCACAAAATCAAAACAGTTGAAAACTGTTGGTTCTATGATTTCTACTGCTTTTAAAAAAGTACATTGTCGCATTTGCACACTTGGTGCAGCATGGTAGTGAGCCTTTTAACTTTTTGAAAGCAGCGTTGTATTAAGTTTCATATATTCAATCCTTTTTAATAGGAAAGTGATGTAGCTTTTATCCCTACAAGTGGTCTCAGTGGTGAAAATCTAATCACAAGATCTCAATCGAGTGAACTCACAAAATGGTATAAAGGACTATGTTTATTAGAACAAATTGGTAAGTATACTGCCATACTGATTTTGATGCATTGTAAGCTTGATGTTATTTAGAGTTCTTTTTTTTTTTTTAATTTTATTTATTTATTTTCACAGAGAGAGACACAGCGAGAGAGGGAACACAGGCAGGGGGAGTGGGAGAGGGAGAAGCAGGCTTCCCGCGGAGCAGGGAGCCCGATGCGGGGCTC